AGACACGCAAAAAGGCTGACTGTAACTCAGCAGGAGAGGAAAAAGGTTCAGGGATTGGGAAATTTGGTGGGAGACAGGGATCGTTATCATGTCAACCGACAGACATTTAACACAGTCGAGTTAATGAACGCAGAAGCTACGAACAACAACTGTGACATTCACCATCCTTCAGACACACGTCTACACACGAAACCACGTTTACACGTGAAAAGTCACGCTCACTGATCAGGTGTCAAACAGCCTCCCCACTCCACAAACCAGCTGGAGTAATCCCTGTTGTCTTACCGGGAGAAAAAAGGTCGCCATCATCACTACGCGTTGTTGAAAAGTGTGGCGGAGCTGTTAGAACAAGAGGCTGATAACACTCATGGTGTGTATTTAACTCACTGACCCTCTCCACTTTATCTAAACACCCCGCAAGTACATCCATCTTCGAACGCAGACAAGCCTGAAGTGGCCAGAGCAATTTCCCACTCAAAACAAGGACTCGGAGCGTTTAATATATTAAAAGGGAAGAATAAAGTTTGACCCATGAGCAGATTTACATTTGAGAGAAGCAAACGCACGCGCCAGGAAAGCAGAAGCTCTCCGTGTCAGCGGGTCTCTGCCGTTCAGCTCCATGTGCAACAGCAGAGTCCTGATAAGGTTATGCGAAAGGAAAAATGGATCAAATTTGGCCACAAATAGGCAAGTCACTTCCTTCTAAACAGCCAGGCAGAGCAGTGACAGTGTCACTCAGGGCTGGATTCAAATCTCCTCCCCCTGTCCCAGTATAAACCAGTGGCTCAGGGAACAGGAACAGCAGCATTTCCAGCAGAGAAGCTGAAATGGCAAAAAGATGCAACTCAAAAAAATGCACCAGAAAGTGGTCTCCTTGGGAGATGCCAAAACAAAGGGGAGAAGAAAAAAAATAAAAAAGGTCTAAGAGCTTCAAAACAGAGCAAATCACATAGCACCATACTTTAAACGCTGAAGTGAATGGCTGTGCCCTCCATCTGCTTGTGCAGCCCCCAGCCCAGCCACCCCCAAACCCCACCAGCCACTACCGATTTGAGAACCACAGCAGAGGGGTATTACTGCAAGCCTTGAAAATTACTGAGGAAGGGCGAGCGTGCACAGAGCAAGAGCAGGGAGAGGACGCCTTGCCGAACACCCGGCTGCACATCTGTCCCAGTAAATTCATCCAGCAGCTCTCCTCACCGTGGGAACCTACACACGTCCTGGCTTCAGAGTCAGCCACCTCTGCCAGCACCCTGACCCAGAGCCCTCCTTCAAACGCATCACATTCTCCCAGTTATACCAGTCTGCCGCTACCGACGGTAACCAGCAGGCATCCACAAGGGGCAGCACCAAACCCTCAGGGCCCCCCCCAGCCCATCCTCACATCCCTGTCACAACCCACTGTAACATCTCAATCCATCCCCTTCGCCCCCCAATTCCCATCCAATGCACCTCCTCCTTTGGCCCACGCAGGCCCAGACCCCCAGGGGACTGGCCGCCTCCGGCCCTCCACACCCACAGCGCTGCACCCCACATCCATGTCCCCCAGGGCTCCAGCCCACACTGCCGAACCCCTGGGACCTCCGACATCCCCTCCCGCCCACACGCTCCACCCCAAGAGCACATCCAAACCCCTACAGCTGCCTCCCTGCCCTACAACCCCTCATGGGCCCACATCCTTGCCCCACATCCCCGGCCCCTTGCCCCACAACCCCTGGCTCATGCCTTCCAGCCCCCCATCCCACACCTCCTGCCTCCCCCCACCCCTACCAACACGACCCCATCGCTCCACGCTCCCTACCTGTCCTAC